TTCTGTTGTTCTCTAAAGCATTCTGTTGCTCCTCTTTTGCCCCTCTCCAGAAATCTTTCTCTTCACCGCATCACTGCTTCAGACGATACCCGCAGCATCCGGGTACCGCTAACTACTTCGTAGTCCTTGATTCTGTACGGAGTACACACGTTATACATAGCTCGATGCATACAAACCGGTATAGCTACAAATTTCCCAGTGGATCAGTATGCCTAGTTGCGGGGCTGCAAAAACGAGCAAGTCAGGTAGTATGAACCATTAGGCGAATCATGATGCCTTTCGTACTGTTGTCATTTTCTTGGGTTTCGCCGTTCCGACCTCTCGGACCGGGCCAGAGTGCCGAACTCGAATTATTATCTAATTGTATCCGCTGGTTGCTTGAGAGTCGAAATGCCAAAGTGGGCGTAAGAGTTTTCGCTGGATAAGTCTATCTAAGTGATGTAGATTTTTTTCTTCAAGATCCGCAGTGGATTTGTTTCGGCATTCTGTTTCTTTCGAGACTCGAGTCTGCGAGTTGAGGTACTTGGGACTAGTGGTACGGATTGTTGACCAAAGTACGAAAAAAGAGGTATTTTTGGCTTTTGAGCCGACACGGAATGCTAATGGTTTTTAACGCTTGCACAAACTAGGAAGGCGTCTAGAAAGGAATGGAAGGGAAGCCCGGAGCCAAGATCGGGTTTAACTATGGGGAAGCTGGAGACTTGCTGGTCGCTTTCTCCAGTTAACAGATCATCAAGCTACCTGTAGAAGCCTTCACGGTTTACAGTCCTACACAGATCTCAAAAGATTTCCCTACCGATAACCTGAATGGGCCCTTCGTGGAACAGCTACAGTAAACGTAGAAGTCCGGTGTACCATTATGATGGCAAATCAAGACATGTTATAGATAAATTACCATGATCAATCAAGATACTAGCACACTGATCCCTCGATTTTTAAATTCCGACGTCATCAGCATTCATATTACCAGGAGTATGTTGAACAAGCCCTTGCATAAACTGATCCTGATCGACCGCTATTGCAGTCGAGGATTGCTTATTGATGAATAGAATGTTTTCCAAGCATAAATCTGTGGATCGAAAGTCTGCACTCCAGATTTAAGGATCATATTAGATCAAGGAGTAAATGCCTTAATAGCGTCTCACTATCCTGGCCATCTGCAGGAACGCGCAAGGGACAAGTGAGGAAGTAATGAAGCAGTCCTAAGCTTCCACTGATCACCACTACGCGATCCAGCCTCCTCTTTGGTGAGCGAAAGTTGTAAAGACCATGTACACTAATCTCGAGCTCTTTACGCGTTTAATCAAATTGTCCGCAAAGGCTTCTAATTCTGCCGTCTTGTGCTTGTTAACTATACGGAGGTTTGGTCAACAGCATGGACTCGGACCTTGGCGGTAGTACGTAGTAGATGGTGTAACATGCCTCGTTTGTTTGCTACTGTCACTCATTCTCTGCCAGCCTTTCCTCGTTCCTCGTATAAATGCAGTACGTAGTTAATTGGATATTATGCTGACTAGCCAAATAGCTACCTAGTTGTGATACATGAGAGAAACTCTGACAGCCCCTGGCGTCCTCCAATTCAACCTTTGTGTTCTCCATTAAGGGATCCAGCCAGACCGAAATCTTCACTTGTTTACGGTGTACGTGAGTTGTTAAAATATCTGACGAATGAGTGAAAGTATCCTCACCGAGTCACCGGCTGATGCTCCATGATAAGGGCCCAAAAAGAAGCCACTACAATAGTCTGTTGAGATCATATGCGGAATGTATTCCGGGGGCCGCCTTATCAAAAAAAGAGGAGACTCCAGAACCTTGGAGCCAAGCAAGGGTTAGATGAAGTCCAATATTGTAGCCACTCGAACAATCAAGCCATCGCAGTAGATAGTACGCAGTACATTACCAGACAGACACCGATAGAAGGAGTATGGATTAATTCCAGGCTCCAGCCACAATGATGACCTGAATACTGAAATGGATTGGACTAATCTAGATGCTGCCTACTGAGTAGTGGCTATGCGCAGCCACTTTCGGGACTAAGATTCAATATCCAGATACTAGTTTAAAACTAGTGAGCCACAGATGACCAATACTTTCTATCCAACAATGATGCAAAGTCAGGTCATCATCAGCATATATCATATTCATAGCTGATCTCCGCAGTCATCGCATAGGAGAGGCAATGCCACAGTGGGTCCCCATGCACTTAGACAGTTATACTTTCTTTTGACATGTGTAGGAGTCACTGACAGGGTGACGACTGCCCACTTGCACAGTCACTAGTATGTGCGGAATTGCGGATATTGTGGCCCTAAAATTTGACAAAGATCTGAAGATCCGATAGCATCTTGTGGGCTATGAATATCAATGAGCCTGTTGGTATGGTGTGGTGCTTGAGGCGAGGTTATTGAAAGATCATGACGAGTCGACAGCCCCCCTGGCTATGGGTTTGAGGAGTTGAGACATCAAGGTTCATCTAGCACAAAGGTGAAAGCTTCTTAGCGAATGGTGTCTCTCAGGGAATCAAAGTAAGAAACTCCAGCCCGCAAACTTAATCTTGGCTGATGAAAGGAGCCTCCTAAGCCCCTTATTATTATCTCTGAGACTATCTCTGAGATTCAAAAATTGGCGACCGAAACCGAGGTAATGATGTGGACTGGAGATCGATGACAACGCGTCGAGGAACACTTTCCACGCGAATAACAAAGTCATTCCCAGAACTGTACCTTGGGTGCGTTCGTGTCCCATCCATTCTCGTGAGAAATTTAATTGGGTTTTCAATAGCGTGGGCGTGTGCTAGTTCCCCACACTTATTGAATTTCAGGCAAGATCCCTGTCAAACTGAAGACAAAGAGACCCATGGCGGGAGTATCGACTGGTCGAGGTGCGACAGTAAGCGGCCGGGCTGAAAGAAGTTGGAATCCATAGTGTTGGGATAATGCAGCGACCGGTTGTGATGGCTGCGGCACCGGACATGCAATGAAGTCAATGGAGGTAAGGGCCATTTGCTGGACCACTCAGCAGCCAACAATGGCGGTAGAAGACCCTGGGACGCGACCGGCTGTATGCACGTACTCTGTATATGCGTATAGATGTAAGCCTGTATGTGCTTACCAGTCAGACAGGAAGTAGTTGCTTACCTAAGGGTATGTTTCGAGTATCCCAAATATTAATTTGATATTCACAGGTCTATTACAGTGTAGGTAGCCTAATTAGCAGCTGGCAGTCAGATCCTCTACGCACTTAACAAGAATGCAAAATGCCACTTTGTGTCTGATTTCTGGCTTTTGAACATCAAACATATGAAACATTTTAGAGGGAAAAAAAAGCATATGTTCATCATTTCCATTTAATTTAGACATGATCATGCTGCTATGATCTTTAGACAAGTGGTAATTACAGAGCTGGATGTTGCTGCTACCTAGCTCCTCCAAAGTGGTGACGCAGCTTGTCTAGTTCAAAGGTTGCTCTAACTTATACGGAGTAGTTGATACATAAGTACAAAAACTAGCCCCAGACCCGGTAATCAGCATGATATCGATAGTGGTACGCCTTGTCGCCTTTCATTTCGCAATTTTCTAGTCTCCTCTAGCCAAGGACCCGAGGTGTTCCTGGCCTGAATCAGGGAGAGGATGAGTGGTGAAGACTCAAGACTGGTCGTTAGCGACGGAGATCAACCCCACTAAGAAGCCCACCGAAGGAGTGCTGCTGCTGGCCGCTGTACGAGGCTTGGTTTGAGAAACAGAGGCTTTCCTGGAGCCATTGGAATGGTTTATTACTTTGCTGAAGAAACAAAGACTCCTCTGTCAGGGAGAATCAAACAGACTTCCAGCTGGAATTGCAACACCCTGTTCCGGAAATCTAGACTATTAGTTTCCTAGAAGGGGTCGATAATTGATGGACAATTGGAAAGGCTGGTTGGCTGGCAAGTACCAGACACTTGACTGAAAGAAGGCAGTTACTGGCTTACAAGACAGTACCTCTGATCTTACACCAAGATAGGAGGCAGACGTCTTACACTGCTGCGGTACCACTACCCTGGCAGCTTTTGTAAAGTTACTATTATTGACTTTTCACATTCAGCAAGGGTGTCCCTCTGCTCAGGCCGCGTTAGGTAGATTTGCTACTAGTTAGACTATGTAGAGCTAGTATTAAGGATTACTTGCGTGCGAGGTCTCATATATGGTCTCCATACGGAGTACTTCTGCCTATTATTATTGAGTGTTCCATATTATTCTATGTAGTCATATTTATACCTGATCCAAAAAGGTAAACAACGCGCTCAAGCAAAGTAGTGTAATTTTGCCCTGCGCTTCTATCCAGGTAGAGGTGTGTCAGGTGGGTTTGGGTCGTCAGGAGAGCCTTGAAATACCAGCTACGAAGCTTGTTGCATCGCCGACCTGTGACACTGCTGTTTCAGAGCAAACTATGTATGTACCTCACAAATGGCAATTGAGAGAATCATCAGGTCTTTCGTGAACCTGACAGCCGCGTTGTAGAGATTGTGAGAGTTTACTGAGTCCAGAGATGAAACAGAAACTCCCAGTTCTGCCCGATACGAATCTGTAATTGCGGTGCTCCGTAGTGTACAGAACCAGAGGCTTTGGTATTATTGAACAAAAAATTGGACAACCTCGGTACGCAAAAGCGATACCATCACCGTCCGACTCATTACCAATTTACCACAAACCAATACGGGAAAAGCGTCACGCTTTACGATACAGTGGGCAAGCAGCTAGCCCGCAGCGATTCTCTCGACTTCAATCTCGGGCTTTCGTCCCGTTCATTCTCTTACTCTTTCTTCCTTTTCTTTTTCCTCTTCTACACCCGTCTGGAGAGAGAGCAACTCCTCCTCACTTTCCTCTCCTCCCTTTTCTTTCAAATTTCTACCTCCTCTCCCTTCTCTCCTACCCCTCTCCTCCCCCTTTTCTAGCCTCCCGCCAATTCTCCGGAGAGATCCTCGAGACTGGTCTACAGGCAGAGAGATCTTGTTGACTGTTATATCAGTCGACCTCGTCTCCAGCCCGCTGTACTAGCTCTCCAGTCGAGCCGTGTCCGTCAGCTGTTGCTTCGACGTTCCTCTATTTCGACGTTTGTTAGCTCAAACGGCGAAACCTCACTTTCCCTGATCTGACATTCGGTGTCCTCGTTGCTCCGTGACGTCGACGATCAGGTTCCCCTAACTCTGCTTCTGCCGGTTAGAAGAGCGATTAGACGGGGATCTTGTCAATTCCTTCTCGTTCATCGTTTCTTTGTACATGATTCGACCTCTGTTGTGACACTGGGAAAGGTGAGACTTGGCTTTTCTTTTGCTGTTTTCTTCTTTCGAGCAATTGTGGCCTGTGGTTGTACATTTCGGATGGGAAGTTTCAGGCCATGGTTGCACCTTCGCCGAGCCGTCAATTGGCTTGATGCAAGCTGGATTGCCTTGTTCGATGGAAGACGAGCGTCTGGATGAAGGGACGTCCAGAGTGATACCGGCAATTGTCGACATCAGAGACGCTGTTCAATTGCCATTGCAACGCGTTGAGATTCGATCATCTTCGAGAGTTCGTTTGCCTGATGCGATGTTGAATTTGCGTGATCTGCCACGGTTCGAGAACAACTGGGTCAGGGGTGACCGGACGATCGGATGCGTTCACAATAGCTGGCTGGAAGACGATGGAATCGCAGGCGGAAGAAAAGATTTCAAATACTCTTCTCTGAGTTTTATGGAAGCTTCCGCCTACATTTGAGTCGATGCCAAGCGAGTTCACTGCAAGTGAATTAAGGGGTCCTAAGTGTGGTGAATGGAATGTGGGTGGCATACTTGAAGACGATCACGAAGGCCATTCGCAGCATATCTGAGAGATCTCCTACCTACTGTGGTCTAATGCCAACTTGGACGAATCCTGCTTAAGCTACATTCTACTGCACGTTCCACGAAATTGGCTGGCTAACCTGTCAATCTTGCTTCCAGGAGACACCAAAAATTTCCGTCCTCCGGTGCCTTGCTCTCGACATACTCTCCATCCCTTATATGCGGAAGTTGGTTGTCGAACGCTCCTCTTACCTTGCGACAACAGCCCAGTGCAAAGATACAATCAGGAGACGCTGCACTGTAACCTGTACGTTGTGCTCATTCTTTGCATGTTGAGCTCCCCCCTGACGATCTTCCCCCATCCCTACATAGGGTTCGTCCTGTGTACTCCGTTCCACATTCCGCAGGAGCCATACCCGACAAGTGCAAGCACCTGTTCCTAGGGTGAAGACGTTCAGTCGTACTTCATCTTTGGGACTGGCATTCGAGTCCAATTTAGCAGATCATTCTTGCACCTTCACCTTAGCCTAGATGCTAGACTCGCCGTCACGGTAAGGGTTGCATAGTGCCCTCTGCCCGAAGGCCTTCTTATCTGGGTTAGTATCTTTTCTCCTCACGGAGTCGCCCTTCCATGCTCATTGCATTTATTGCTCATGCCCTCCCCCCCTCACACCCCGACCCTTCTACTTGATCATCTCGCTGGCTCGCTCGTTTCTCAGCCCAGCCTTCCTACACCTTGACGCTCCTTTTTGTTTCTTTCTTTCTTTTCGAATAAATTCTTATATGTCTTAATAATCATTCCTACTAACACTGTCCGCTCGTTCAGCTCCGGCCTTGAAGACCCTTATCCCCGGCTATCTGGTCATCTTTGAACCTCCCAGTTTTCAGACTATTGTCTCTTCACTGGCCGTTCCTTAATACTTCCAACTAATTTACACTCATTACTTGCAATTAATCTTGACGACTGTCGCTCTCTTAATTCCGTCGTTTCCTGATAGACGCAGTTCTTTGTCAGGTCCACTCCTTCTAGAAGCATACGCAGCTTTGATAATATTTTTCCGATCGATATCATCCAACCGATCGACAACATGGCCTATCACAAGCGTCCAACGTCCAGCTATCAGCCCTGTGACAGCTATTTTGTGGAGTCTTATGACGACTTCCCTGCTCCTCGTATCGACCCCAAGGAAGATGCGAAACTGGTTGCCCGGGAACGTCAGTTTGCCATTGCGGATGAGCTATCCAAGGCTGCCAGTGATGAATTCCGCGATGACATCCTGGCCCACATGCTGGACATGGACGTGAGTGACCCTGATTTGTGGAGCTAGGAGAGCATAAACTGACGGTGATTTCCCTTCATTCTAGGCTGCTACTCTCCCCGATGTCGAGTCGATTGATATACAAACTGAGATCCAGTGGTTCATGCGTCCCTATCTACTTGACTTCCTGATCGAAGCCCACACTGCCTTCCAATTACTGCCTGCAACACTCTTCCTGACCGTAAATCTGCTCGACCGATATTGCTCGAAGCGTGTTGTGTACAAAAGACACTATCAGCTGGTTGGATGTGCAGCCCTGCTCATTGCGGCGAAGTATGGTGATAAGAAGGATCGTGTACCTACCATCAAGGAGCTTAAGTCGATGTGCTGCTCTCTTTACGACGACGACATGTTCATTCAGATGGAGTGGCACGTTTTGCAAACTCTAGGATGGACAGTCGGACACCCAACTGTGGACAGCTTCCTTCAAATTGCCGTTCTGGACACTCCTTATGACCCCGAAGTTGAGCATCTGGCTCTCTATATCTTGGAAATCTCATTGTTCCACAGGGAATTCGTCTCCAAGGCGTCCGCTGACCTTGCCAGAGCTTCCTTGGCCCTGGCACGGTGCATTCTGAACAGACCCCAGCCTCGTCATACGGAGTGGGCGTCGCAGTACGATTCGATGACCCTGGTGGGTCTTTCCCAGCAACTTCACCAGCCATCTCAGGTCTTGTCCCGGAAGTACTCTTCGTCCCATTATTCGCGGGTTGCGAAGATCTTGGAGCAGTTCCTTGCCCGGCAGGCTTCGATCACAAGCTACACTCCCCCAAGTCCACCCTCTGATGTACCCTCGGATTCCAAGCCTTACTACGGGGAGGTCGGACTGGCAACTCCGCAGAAGGCGCAGTCTTCGAACCTGCCAAATGGGTATCCCACTCCTCCCATCACACCGGAAAATGAAGCGTTTGCCAATGCCTGCAACCCCAACTTCGTCAAGGAGGTGCCAGAGACTAACACATGCTCGCCATCACCGTCGCCACCCCCGATGCAATACGTGGACTCTCACCCGTACAACCCGGTGGCCGCGTATGCGCATCAACCGTTTGAGCAACCTCAGATGAGCTTTACTTCCAGTTTCTGAGCTGGACCAAAGTGGTCGAGGAAAGCCCTTGGTATCATCGGATACTTAGCTCATTTGACTGCTGGCATGTTTGACCTGCGAGTGATATCACAGCTGCCGGACCTGACTTGCCTATCTATCATTGAACTACTCCTAGTTCCGCAGTCGACCGACCTGATTGCGAGAACTATCTCCTATTTCCTTGTGTCTTCTCTTTTTCCTTTTTCCAAAATTGCATACCCATTTCCCTTGTGTTCATTTGCACATCATATTCTGGGTGTTTTCAAGTTGCATTTCACCATTTATTTTACATCTAGCATTGCAAGCGCGAGCCGTTCGAGTCCAAATTGCATTTGTCTATTTTTGTTTTCTCTTTCTAGCCCTTTCCCATTGATGTGTGGAGTGCTGCGAACCATTTTACCTAGCGACTTCCTCGATGGCGGTCTGCTCTGGTGCTAATTGGCATTCATATCTGATTTTTCCCCATCCCTTCTTACCTACATCACACAATCATACCCTCACATACCCTTAAAGTACTAATGTGGATCTCCCTCTTACTCCTCGTACAAATTTTACATGCAACCCGGCCCTGAACGAGGCCTCGGGAAGTGTTGGTATGCGGAAGGAGAGACATCACCCTCCCGGAAAAATCAAGAACAAAAAAAGAAAAAACACATGAAAAGCACAAAAAAAGGAACGAAAAAAGGCGGCTCCTTTTTCTGCTGTTGTGAAGTCGGTGAAGAAAGAGTGGAGCCAGGTGGATTGGCACGAAAGAAGCATATTGAGCATTTGCAAAGTCCCCTCAACCCCCTCTGTTATTAGATCCCCGTCATCGACCCCTTTCTTTTACTTCTTCTTCCTCCTAGGGGAAGATGAGTGGTGGATTTTGAACACTGGATCAGCAATAAAGATATATCTGATTCCATACATACTTGCATACATACTATTGGCAGATTGAATGACATAGCATTATGCCAGTATCATTCATCATGTAAGCGTACAGGCAGCCCGTGATCTTCGTAAGCTACTGTTAGAGAGAGATCGCCAGGGCCATGCAATCTCTTGGTGACCAAGTCGCGGAGCATCACGACTAACGGGGTAGGTCTTAAGGGAATATGATTATATGACATTCCAGCTATGTCCGCATTTCGGCGCAAGAGGAAAGAGGGATACAAGGTAACAGGGGCGTGTAGAAATTCTGGGGTCAACGAAGATGAGCCTACGCAGTGAAACAGCCTAGGAGAGGCAGACATATTACTCTACAGAGTGAAGCCTGCTGCTCCGTGCTACCAGATACAGACGACGAACAAAGGCCGGGAGAATCAAAAAAGTAGCGTTGTTTCAATAATAATTCTCTTGCGATTATACGGCCAAGTCATAGCCATGAACACAATTCAGTCAACCGCACTTGTACTTGTGGAAGTCAACTCCAAAAAGGAGTTCGTCCAAGGACAATGGCAGCCTGATCTCAATCTGGATCAAAGACGTGTGCGAAAGCGAATGTCATCAGCAGGTAGTCGAGTTCATCATGGAAGGCGTTCACCATATGGGCTGGGAACGATTCAAGCTCACGAGCTGGAGCTTGGTCGTTTCCACAATCCCAGTGGGAACTTGAAGAAAAAACAAAGGAAAGAACCCGGTACCCACGCTATGCCAAAAAGAAGATGAAGAAGAGGGCCCAAACATACTCCGTAGTGACAATGGTAATAATACAGCAAAGTAAGGGAAGGAAAGCAAACAGCGATATGCGGATCAACCCTATCTGGAGTGATATGACCACTTCAAGGTGCAGGACTGAAGGATCAGGACTCCGGACTATTCAGTCATGGCTGGCGACGATGTTGATGCAAGGGTTGCTCCGCACTATCTCCCATGCTTGATACGAGCATGTGGTACACCGCATCCAAGACCTCTTGTCACTTGGACGCGGAGGAATGTGACACGTGTGAGAGACAAGGAAAGGAAATAAGGAGAAGAAAAGATGATACAAAACAGTCGCAGAGAAAGACAAGAAACTCCAGTCGTAAAGTACAGTGCATCCATAAGTGGTAATAGTACAGAAGGGGAAAGGGAAGGGGCAAAAAGGGCGAGGAGACAGTTTCGCGGAGAAAACAAGCGCAAAATCCGGGGCGTAGATGGAATTTCAAAAGGGACTGGATCGGCTCGGCAACGGACATTCTGTTCAGGGGTGGCGTCGGCCGTGGTATCGATCTATCACCATCATCATTTGAGTGTGGTGTTGTTGCGGTGACGAAGATGGACTTGAACCAAGACGAGAACAGAAAGGTCCAGACTGTTGAGAAGGCATCCGTCGACAGCCGAGAGGGGAGTAACTTTGCCGATAATCGATAGATGGAAAGATGGTATAATGACTGAGAGACAAATCCTCCCGTCGTCCACGGTCCGTCGTTATTATTGGAGGTGTCGATCGTCCGCCTCACTTTTCCATTCCCAAAAGGGTACCAAGGGAAGCCGCGCGGATAATCAGCAGGCCATTCCCAGCCCAGCCGCTCTTCCCGCCCAGCTCGAGTAGTAAGCAGCAACTGCCAGCAGCGCTTGGGGCAAGGAAGAGCAGACTGGCCCTATTCTGGTCGTGTAATGTACCGAACCCCCTTCTTTTCCCTTCCCTTTCCCATTCTTTCCCCATTCTACAGAAAATAGGGAAAGGATGCAGCGGTGGATAGTCTACTTCCACCGCTGTTTGTCCCAATCAGAAGGTCGTGTCTCGTCATAAATTTGTCCTCCCTGGTTATGTATGATTACCGGGGGTTGGGTTCGGCGTGGGACAGGATTCGATCCTATTGGAAGCAGAAAAACGGGCGCCCCAGTTAGTGACCATTCTAGATTTGGGAGATCGAGATTCTTTCATGGAGAGTATCAAACCAGCAAAAGGAACATACCTCGCAGGTCTGTGACAACTACTCTATCACCGCTGCTGGCGCTGCTGGCCAGGGTGGAATTCGAATCGTTGACTTTGTGAGGCATAATGACGGTTTGATTTGAAAGAGAGTGGAGAGATGGATTGTAGTGAGCCCAAGGATGAAAGAGGTTTATATAGATCGGTCTCAAGAGTATCTGTGGCGGAGCAAGGGTGAAGACGGGCAAAGTAGGCAAGAATAGGTAGCGAGTAGATACTCTAATTCAGGAGCAAGAAAGAAAGAGAGAAGCAATTAATATAGACCAGGAGGAAAGATTGTTGCACTTGATGTTGAATGTCGATGCTAGTGGGTTGAAGCTGGAGAGATAGTGAGGATGGGGACTGGGACGATGGGGCCCTTTTGTATGCTCTGTGTTGCTGTGTTAAGAAGCTATGGACGGTCAAAAGAGGAATAGACAGAAGCATTGAAGTTTGATACAAGAAGTAGACGAAGAGGATAATCAAAACACTGAAGACCGAAATGAAATCCTACATGAATCCAAAATAAATGCACTAAAATAAATAGCAACTGGAGACGCTCAACGCGAGAGATGGATCAATCACAGCATGCACTTCTCTATGGATAACTATACGCATAACGATTATCTCCTTTAGAATTGTTATATCAAGCATGGAGTATGTACAGCCATTGGTAAGAAAGAGACGTCATTTTTTCAGTTATTATCCATACAGAATGCAGGAATTTCGAAAATACACGACAAGGCGTCCTTCTTCTGGGGAACGCCTGCTGGACAGTGTTGGTAGGACTGTAAGATGATCCATTCAGAGCCATTCTGGTGCAACTCATTCGACTCCACTGATGCTGCCAGGGGCAAAAAGCCAAAAAGAAAAGCCAAACGACGGGTCGTAAGACGAGGCGACAAACCAGATTCGATAATTCCCACAGGGTGATGCAGATGGCGGTTGATCAACTGATCTAGTCTGTTGGCTTATAGTTGACCTTTCTGGATAGTCTCAACCACATCGTTTCCATACCTTCCGCTAGACCATCAAGAACGGCGAAATTGTGCGTTGTAGTTTACAGCAAATAACTATTCCCATTATTTCGCAGCGGTATCAATGATAGAAACCAAGAGTTCAGTAACGTGGTCGTCTTTCCGACGCATTGACCTGTCCAGGTACTGAGGTGAGGTGAGGTGAGGTACTCCGTACTGCCCAGTCCTCCCCTAGCCACATTCCATATACCCTTGCAGCGTAAGCATCACTGCTCAGCCTGATGAGGCTGAAGTATCAATCGCCGTCCTGCTTCCTAGGTACATGTCTTGAGATGACGGGCAGGCGCTCTACAGAGAATTCCGCTAAAGTCTCTATAGACAATTCCCAAAAATGATGAGACCAATGATGATGTAGATGGCTGTGCGAAGTGCGAACTGAGCAGATATCTACTGACCACCGTCTGGTGTGGCTGTCGTGCAAAGGCTGAGGCGAGTGACTGCCTGGTCTCGCGTTCAAGATAGCCTGGACTCTGCCTCCTTCGTCACTGCTGATCCTACCAGGTATTTGACCTGTTGCATCGCCATAGGTTCATTCCGTCGAATGAGGGATCATTACTGTTGCACTTAGCCTCCTAACTGCTACGATGGGGTGAGGATGAGCTGTCCATCCATGCTATGCCTTAGGCCAGCGTTCGGTACCGGGTACGGTGCCTTACATAGCTCAACGAAGGCTACCGTATTGATCAGGAGTGATTGGAAGGGCTGCAGTACTCAACGTAATGGTACGTAGACTACTGTCCCCACTGGTCTAACCTGAACAGGGGATAGCCTCCCTGAGCTGGTGTGGGTTTGATCACCTGATCCTGTACTATTAATAACTAGTCCTGTTACAGAATAGTGCTTTGGTTAGTCAAGCCATAACAATTTACTCTGGACCTGGACTCAAGCCGGCAAGCCAACTATGGGGGAAATTAATTAAACGAAAGACGAGCATTTAGGACGACGTCTCTATGGACAGTACCAAGTAAACGAAGCTAAGACCTGTGTTGAGCAAGCACGAAACGAGTATTCCGTACGCAGTACCGAAGTACCTCCATGGCCTACCTCTACTCCGTACACACCAAAAATACCCCATGCCAAATCCATAGCTCCCTGATCCACAACATAAGAGCATAGTCTAAAAGCTACTCTGTCTAGACTCTAGATAGACCGTTTTCGTCCAGATGGAGCAAGGTACGGGGTACAAGGGAAGAACACAACACCATCGTTTGGTCTATGGAGTTAAAACACGAAGTACGACATCATGACAGTCAATGCAGACGCAGTATGACCCTCTACTTGCTTGCCAGCACTCCGTCCTGTCCAAAGAGACGATAGCTTTAGGGGGCACAGAGTACAACTTCACAAGTCCAACCTCTTTCTAGACTCTCCCTAGACCCACCAATTGCCGACTGAGCTTTGATCACTCCCCACGTACTCCGTCGAAGAAACAAAGTAGCAGAGTTGCGGTGAGCAGCTGGCGTTTTCATCCTGCTTGACGTGAGGTACACTCGCCGTACCTGAGTTAACACTCATATGCATGTCACTAGGAGCAGCTGTACAACCTGTAAGCTAGTGCTGCCCTGAGTCCATTCCTCCTGGAATTAGACCTTACAGTTAGGTTCGCTGTGGGTGCGCGGGAGTTCCTGAGACTAGTACCAAGCTATGTAGACTTACAGTACTTCCTTGACCGACAGTTCGTGGCTATGTCTGGCCGTGAGAAAGACCGTCTAGGCTACTGTGTAAGGTACCTGTTGCAGGTGGTCAGAGTGAGTAGACCAGAGGCAGGTAAGCCTCCATGCCAGAACTCCTCTTTAGGAGTGTGGGTAATCTTGTGTTGAGCTGTCTGGCTGTAAGGAGGAGAAACAGCTCAGAATGCTTCTAGATGCGATAGGCGCATTATTCTTGCGCTCTTTTGGGTACCAGTCATAGTTGTTGGAGCTGATGTTGATTTTGCGCTGGAGGAAGCGGCATCGCCGCGACCTTCTGATCAGTAACCACTACCTACCTTACGTGTTTCTCAAATAGCTTCAGAAGTCAAGGCCCTCGCTGAGAAGCCATAACTTTGTCTCTAATGTTTCAGTATGGTATGTGGATCGTTTCGGACTGGGCTGGTAGGCTATCAGAAAAGAAGTGCAATAGGCATGGATTTACTGGGCATTTGGGCCCAACGTATCTTCGAGCCAGCCATGCAAAGAGTGACCATGCCTGATTGCTCGTCTCATCATAAGAGATACTTACTACATCACCGTATATCTACGTAGATGTTCCAATAAAAGAGTGAGTTGCTTGCTAGGTGCCACGCCACGCTGTCAGCGGGCCCAATCACTCCTCGACGCCTAATGTCCAACCCATGTATCCCACAAGGTCCATAAAGTCATCGGGATTGCCCATTGCCTGCCTTTTTCCATCGGTCGGCCCACCCATCATTCATTGTTCTTCGAATCCCCAGCGTCCTTCGCCCCGTTGGACCCGCTTGTTGCACCATCGTCATCGTAGTGGTATGAAACGTGGCCACGGGCCGCACGCCGCCTACCGCGCCCGAAGGCTTCTTATTCTCGCCAGTAGCGCGCTCAGAAATGAGAGTCTCGTTCATATTCGATGGTCCCTGGTTCTCCTCACCATTTTGCAAGGTCCGTTTCTCCGTGGGCCTCGAGGATGCGGCCAACCAATTATACTCGTTGCTACCCGATGGCTCAAGGACTGGTCGAGGCGGTTTAATGCGTTGCGTCTGCGGACGATGACATGATAACTGAGTGGGAATGGCGCTTTTGAAGGCGGGATTTGACAAAGGGACGTGGTTCGCTTGCCCGAGCAGGCCTTTGGCACCGATCTGAGGCTGCGAAGATGCCATCGGCGCTGGTAGACAAGGATCCTTGGCTTGCGTCGAAGACTTGCCGAAGAATCGCGATATGTTCTCTTGAGAAAGTCCAGCCGCATTTCGAGCGGCCGGCCCTGTGCTGTTGCGGTTGGATGTGCAATCAACTTTGAGGACTGAAGACTGGGCGGCTTGTGAGGCAGACGTGGTGCTGATGTACTCTCGCGCCGATGAGAAGCCGAGCGACATGTTTGTGGACATGGGTAACTGCGGATGGCTAATTGTGTACGTAGAGGATGACAGATAGGTCGTGGTGGAAGAAGACGACGGATTTGGATTGTAGCGCCGCCTTTTGGGGTCCGGCTCCTCGCCCCAAGCCCTCGAGCCATCCCACTTAACTACGGCATCGGGGGCTTCTTTGCCATCGGCCGTCCACTGATCATCTCGCAACGAAGGAAGTGAGTCGTACGCCGCAAGCATGCTCTCGGATGAGGGTCGGGGCCGCCGCAGGATGTCAGCAATTCCATAGACGACCTTCTCCTGCAGGTTAGGCCCAAGTGGTCGAAAGCGATTTTCAATGATCTTGGGCGGAAGGAAACTCGTCACGGTTGTGGTCGCTTCCTCGTTGCGAGATTGCCTCAGTGGATAACTCAGGTATAACAGCGCCTGCGCTCTTGTCATGGCAACATAAAGCAACCGTCTCTCTTCGTCCGAGTCCTCTGCGCGCGAGTGGGGGATAATGCCGTTGTACACAGCCGGCACAAACACCACGGGCCATTCCAGGCCCTTCGCCGCATGAATGGTGGATATGGTCACTTTTTCTTGGGGTTGATCGCCGTCTTCAGAGAGGACTTCGGTCGACAACGCCACGTTTGCTAGGAATTGCGATAATGCTTCTTCACCCTTATGGGCCTGCTGTTGGGCAAGCCCCTGAATTTCAGGTAGACTAACATCCTGATCCTTTTCAGCCTCAGTCGCAGCCACGTCACCTGCCTGGGCCAGGAGCTCTTCCACGTTCGCCCATCGGTTTTCCTCATTCTGACAGTAAGTGGCTGTAAGATATTCTCGGAAATTGAGTCTCTTAATCACAAACTCAAGAAGCTTGCGAGGTGCGGACCCGTCCGTACATTCGAGGAGTTTCTGCCTGGATGATTCAATGATTCCAACCAGAGTGCAAAGGCCCTGGTCAGTAAGTTTGGCCAGGCTTTTGTCGGTCGACCTGCGACCCTGCGCTACATCTTTGATGAAATTCCAC